CATGAAGTTTTGAGGTCTTTAGCTATTAACTCTGCAGACAGTTGGCGACTTCTGCGCACTGTGCTCTTCAGCATGTGCTGACCCTGCTCTTTCGTTTTTTTGCAGCCTCCGCTTGGCTGAGTTGCTGTTGTTCCCAGTTGCTTCCACTTTGTTATAATACCACTAACAGTTGACAGTGGAATATTTAGTAGCAAGGGAATTTCACAGATGGACTTATTGCACTGGTGGCAACCTATCACAGAACCACGCTTGAATTCTCTGAGCTTGAGAGTGACCTATTCTTTTTACAAATGTTTGTAGAAGCAGTCTGCATGCCTAGGTGCTTGATTTTATACACCTGTGGCTGTGGAGGTGATTGGAACACCTGAATCCAATGATTTGGAGGGCTGTCGTAATAGATTTAGCAATATAGTGTACATCACTTGGCAGCAACACTTTCTTAACCACCAACTCTCAAGAAAGCTTCTTAGCCATGCGTTCTTCCTCACCACCTTACCGCACACAGATGGACATAACCCCTTCCTTTCTTCCTGGTTTCAATTTGAAGGCCAACTGATGCCTCCTGACACTGCTATCCTTCCCACCAGACATTGCTGCCTGTTGTGGACAATTTACAGTAAGTAAAGTGAATGAGTTTCCTTACTGTGGCTCATTCATAATATTTCCTGTAGAGCTTTAGCACTTAAACACATTATTTAACATGCTGAATGGAGTTGTTCTTTAATTTGATTAGATTCAATCTATACTAAAAGAAAGTCTCCGAAAGCAAAACTGTAATGATTAGAATATGTAGGCGGATGGGACCACATTTGGGCCAACACGAAATCATCCTCACAGAATATTGTAGCCGTGGAAACCAATTATAAAGTTTTAACCCGTTGGTATTTGGTCCCAGCGAGAATTTCAAAATACACTCCAAATTACTCTCCCACATGCTTTAGAGCAGGCCTTGAATTTTCCACTCGCCTGCTCGCATTTCGCAAGTGGAAATAACATGGGGGCGAGGGCCAGATCGATCAAACAGCCGATGGATATGGAGCGGGGTGTCGGCACCAGAGGCGGAATAACCTTTCAGGCATTAAGCACTCACACACACTACCCAAGGGCCCAGAGTCCTTAGGAGGTCCTATGACAGGCTCCTGAAAGGATGGGGAGTGGCCGCAGGGTGGATTGTGCAAGCGTGCTATGAGTCCTGTCCAGTGAGAGGAGAGAGTGACTGACAGAGCCCAAGGAGGAGGAGAATCCACAGACTGGTGAGAGCTCAGCATGTAACAGTGGGAGGAAGGGGGAGAACGGTCTGTGACAGGAGTGCTGAGAAACGGAGTGTGACAGGCTGAGAGAGCCAGAGGGGAGACGTGTGTGTGTGTGCGTGTGTATATGTGTGTGTATGTGTATGTGTGTGTGTGTGTATGTATGTGTATGTGTATATTTTATGTGTGTGTGTGTGTGTTGGGGGCCCTGTATTCACTTTATGTAGCAGGGGTCCCTGTGTGTGTGTTTCTGGGGGGGGTGCATTGTACCATAACTTAGACCACGTATTCTAAGAGGGGGTTGTGTGTTAATTATAACCTCAAATTATGGGGGGATGGTGCCATAATTGGGAGTAGCAGAAATACCAATCACCCCCCTTTTTTTTTTGCCTCCCTTCACCCCTCTTTTTCTTTCACCCCCCTTTCTTTTTTTTTTTAAAAGGTGGTAGAGGACATGGCTATGGGGGGGGGTGAAGGAGGGTATATATTTATTTTCTGTAACTGTATTCTGCATAAAACATTTAACAGTGTAATTTAATGAGAGAATTTATGAGGGCGTGTTTAGGGGAGGGATTAACGGCATGGCAGGGTAGCGGTTGGGTGTGGGCAATTGGTGGCGAGTAACTCTTAAGGCCTGCTAGTAGCTCAGGACTTGAAATTTTAAGCCCTGCTTTAGAGGCTGTGTGGACCTAGAAACACATTACCACATCTGGTGGGACTGCCCAATCGCTCAAACCTTCTGGGCTAACGTCTTCAGCATACTATCCAAACTTGCGCTAACACGCTTCAACCAAATCTGGTAACAGCTCTACTCAACCTGCACCCTCCCGGCATAACCAATTCGCAATTTAAACTCATTCTACAAATTACCACAGCAGCCAAGCAGGTCATAGCAAAGTCCTGCAAATATTCCTCTTTAAGCATTGCTGCTATTAAGAATAGAATTACTCAAGCTATGATTCACGCTAAGGTGGAAGCTACAATCCTAGACACTATCCCTAAATTCTTGAGTGTTTGGAACCACTGGGTAGAGTGTTTCCTTCCGCCAAATTTTGACGAATCACTTCTTCACCCATGATATGCAACCTATACATACTCTGCATTATTCTGGTACCATCTCCTACCGCATTCGCATATTACTTCAACCTTCTATGCCAGTTGTGGAGTCCTCTTCTTTACCCCATTCCCCCCCGCTTCCCTTCTGACTACCTCAACCCCCTCATGTAGCTTTGGGGAGTTTTTATCCCCACCTGTCAAATTCTTTCTGATATTTTGTTATCTCTTGCTTATAGTCTTCGCCCACTTAATATTATGAGAAATGTTGTATTGTGTTCTCTTAATTCCCCCCCCCCCCCCCCCCTATCCACAAAGACATTATTACTGTGACTATTACTCCCTGTGTTTCCTGTCAGTATAATGTCTACTGTCTATGTCTATTTCCCCCTGTTACAATGCCAATAAAATGTTTGAACAAGAATATGTAGGCTGCTATCTGACCTAGTACTAGTTTCTTGGCTGTCAAACTGATCTTCTAGAATCAATACTTCCTAGATTCCAGACCCAGAACAAGTATGCAGATCAGGTTGGGCGTTACTTAATGCATACTTGATCTCCGTCAATGATATCCAGCAGGACGACCCTAAACATACAGCCAGAGCTACAATGGAATGGTTTAGATCAAAGCATATTCATGTGTTAGAATGGCCCAGTCATAGTCCAGACCTAAATTGAGAATCTGTGGCAGGACTTGAAAATTGCTGTTCACAGACTCTCTGCTTCTAATCTGACAGAGCTTGAGCGTTTTTTGCAAAGAATGGGCAAAAGTTTCACTCTAGATGTGCGAAGCTGGCAGAGACATCCCCAAAAAGACATGCAGCGCTAATTGCAGCGAAAGGTGGTGCTATAAAGTATTGACTCGGGGGCTGAATACAAATGCACACCACACTTTTCAGATATTTATTTGTAAAAAATTTCAAAAACCACTTATTCTCCTGCCACTTCACAATTACGTGGCACTCTGTGTTGGTCTATCACATAAAATCCCAATAAGATACAATTGTTTTTGGTTGTAAAATGACAAAAGGTGGAAAATTTCAAAGGGTATGAATATTTTTTCAAAGCACTGTAACATACATTCTAATATGAACAGGAATGAGCATTTCCACACACCAAAGCCCAATGGGGGAAAACAGCCTAACATTTATTAAGACTTTGAACAGATAAGAGAATGCTGTATCTGTTATATACTCAAATAAGGAAGAAACAAGAAAAGCCCACTGATAGTCACACCAAAATTGGGAGAAATCTCTCCCCTCTAAGTAGTGGCTCAGCCGTGAGGAATATTCAACACACATGGTATCACTCCTCTGTGGTCAATACATGTATCTCTTTAGCCCACAGTGTTGAGATACCATGTTAACAAGTCTTGGCCAAGTAAAGGTATTAAATTCTGCAGTTCACATAGGGTAGGGCAATTAAAAATATTGGTGGTAATTAAATGCCAACCTCCCCACCAATAGATCCAGCCCAAAAAAACATGTGCTAATACTGCAGCTACAAGTAATATACTCAAACCTTTGATTGGCATGGTAAGGCACAATCTATTCCACAGGCGTCAAACTGGCGGCCCTCCAGCTGTTGCCAAACTACAAGTCCCATGAGGCATTGCAAGATTGACAGTTACAAGCACGACTCCCAAAGGTAGAGGCATGATGGGACTTGTAGTTTTACAACAGCTGGAGGGCCACCAGTTTGACACCCATGATCTATGCCATCAATACCTATACCTCCTAACACAATATGGCCAAGAAAAAATAAGATCCCTTTAATTTCTTCAGTCACAAAAATATGGTGGAACACATAGGATCTCAAGTCTCCCCCCCTTTCCAAAAAATAGAACCCCCCCCAATAATAATAAAAAAAAGATGATAAAAGTGCAGCTAAAGTAAAGCAAACTCTACATATTTTGCTGTTAAAAGAACTTCATCAGGAGTATCAAAATCAGATAGATGTGTGTATCAAGCAAACAAAAGAGCACCTGGAAAGTATGGCTGACTGCGAATCAGTCTCCTTTAGTTATAACCTTGCCAACACTGCGTGCTAAAGAGATACATGTATTGACCGCAGAGGAGTGATACCATGTGTGTTTGAATATTCCTCAGTGATTAGCCAATACTTAGAGGGGATATTCCTCAGTAATTAGCCAATACTTAGAGGGGAAAGATATTTCTCCCAATTTTGGTGGAACAATTAGTGGGCTTTTCTTTTCCCCTCCTTATGAAAATATATAACACATACAGCATCCTATTATCTATTCAAAGTCCTGATAAATGTTAGTCTGTTTTCCCCCTTGGGCTTTGGTGCGTGGGAATGTGCATGCCCATTCATGTATATGAGTTTAGGCTTCCTTTAAGTGAAGGAAAAATGGCACCACTTTTGTGCAAAGAGCAGCTAATGCAAAGGGCAGAATCTTATAGCGCTGAGCAAACCTTTTAGCGCTATATAAATACTGTGTAATAATAGCATCTATTCAAACTTTACCATTTATCAGTATAAATCTGTCAAAGCAGTAAAAGATTATGGTTAGTTTTGTTGGCATGGGTTTCACAATTGTACATTTGCCTCTTTCATCATGACATAAATTCATAAACCTGTAACATGAATTGTAAGTTGTACATTTTGATTTGCACTATTAAGTCCAGTTTTCCCATTTGTCTTATATGTGTTTTTCTTTTTTCAATTTCTCAAAAGCTTTGCTGTTGGATATCCTGACAGTGGCTGGACTCCAAAAGTTGGTCAAACGTCGTGGCCCCTTTGAGGTGTCTCCAAGTATCTTGGACTACCTTGTCCTTGACGTCTACTCCTTCCCAGCAAGCCATGCCAGTAGAGCCACCATGGTGTCCAAATTCTTCCTAAACCACCTAGTCCTTGCTATTCCTCTACGTATCCTGTTGGTCCTGTGGGCCTTCTCTGTTGGACTCTCCCGCATTATGATTGGCCGGCACCATATCACTGATGTCATGGGAGGATTTGTGATTGGCTACATGCAGTTTAACTTTGTGGAAATTATTTGGCTGCCTTCTAGTACATGTCAGATGCTGTCCTCTCTCTGGTGAAGATTTCTATTCTGAAGATGAATGAGACTTCTAATGAAACAAGACTAAGAGGAGAGAAGCTATTCCCTCAAAAATAAATGGACTTTAATACATAGTTCCTTGTTCTATGGTCAGTGTAATTGAAAAATGGTTTTACGTAATGTCCTGTCTTAGAAACTATTAAAAATTATGGTAATCCATTTCAGTATGATCTTAATTTGTTTTAGCGAAGAAAAAAAATTACAATACCATTGTTCTCCAAACACCTCTCACATTTTGTATGCTCACTCAACAGCTGTCTTAAAGTGAAAATCTGGACAAAAATCTTAATTGTAAGCCCCACATACGGTATATATTCTGCCTTACCATTATAGCTGCATACATCTTCCATATGCATATTAACCTATAAAATGGTGCAATAATGGTTTTCACCTATGTGATGGAACTGTAGGCTTTATTAAACTTTAGAAATATATACACCCCAAATACACAAATGTGAATCTACCAAAAATAAATAAAACAAAAAAACAAAAAATTTAATAAATGAATAAGTGTCCCAAAAAAATGTCCAAAATTAATATCTTTAAAGTCCAAAAAAAGTGAAGAAAAAGCTGACAGTCCACCACCAAATTGCACTAAATACTTCCAGAGGGTGATATTCAGCAGAAGCCAACTCCAAATAAACCAAAATGAAGGAAGCAATGATCTGTATTGGAAAAGTACCACTAAGAAAATCCACTTCTCCCAGACTCCACCTTATTCATATCCAAAGGGTATTTGGCCAGACAGTCCAGAAAAGAACAATAACAACTTCATAGTGCAGTACCTTAAAACAACTTCATTTATTATGTACTCATTGCACTTAACTCAAAAGGTGTCCCAGCCAACACCAACGTTAACAGCATGTAAAATCCACAATAGACGAACCCAGCCACTCGGCACATGCGCAGTAGGTCGCTGGGAAACGTAATGGGGTCACATCAATCAGACTCCGCCCTACGCGTTTCGTCATCGACGTCCTCACGGAGCGGATAGATGTGAGACGTCACAACCTCATTAAATATTCACTGCATAGGGAACGACCAGCTGTCAGCAAAGCAAAATCAAGCGGCAAAAAAGACTCGCTGTTGACAGATCGCCGTATATACAACACCGTGAGTTTGAACAGGATTCCTTCTCATAGACATCAAGAGGCCAGGAAGACAATAATAACAAATTAGCCAATGAATATATACTAAAAAACAAAAAACTTTCACATTAAAGGGCCGGTCCAAGATGTAAAGGAAAACTCCATAGAGATATAAATGTATATCTCTCAATCACCTCAATAATACAATTTAAAGGGTCAGTCCAAATATAAGGGAGGGCTCTACCCTCTCAAAAAAAAAAAAATAAATTTAAATATAATATTATAAATATAAAAAAATATATAATGAATCTCATAGCCACTGGATGTTTAAGCAATCAGAAAGTCATTACCAAAAAAGTAACACAAAAATACATAAAAATTGAGAACACAATTCGTCAATATCAATATTCAACCCACTTGGTTGTAAAGAATTCAACTCGTAAATCCAATACGTTTCTTTTCTAGATATTTCATTAATTAAATCAGATCCCCTCTAATGAGGTTTAACCATCTCAATTCCATAAAAAGTTAACAGGCTTGGATCACAGTTGTGTGTTAGTTTAAAGTGTCTCGACACACTGTGTTTATCAAACCCCTTTCTAATGTTCCTTATATGCTCACCTATTCTAGTTTTCAAACATCTTCCTGTTTACCTACCTATATTTTAGGTGACATGGGCATTCCAAAACATAAATAACGTGTGGAGTTACAGGTAATTAGAGAATTGATATTTTATATTATATTGTTTATCAGAAAATGAAGAGCAAAATGATTTTCTTTTTATTCTAGCTGTATCTTTTACTGTCTTGCATACTGTAGAAGATTGCATATTGGTAACAATAGACAAATCTTTATACACTAATATCAATCAGAAAGACGGTATTAATGCTGTTAAATGGGCCCTCAAACAGAAATCGCATTTAAAAAGAACTCAGAGAAAAATCATTGTTGAATTATTGGAGCTGGCTATGAACAACAATTTCTTCTGGTACAATAACACCTTCTTTCAACAATGTAAGGGAGTTGCCATGGGTGCCAAGTATGCTCCCAGTGTGGAGAACCTGGTAATGTCTAAATGGGAGGAAGAAAGTATTTATAATAGATGGCCAGAGATGGCGCTGTACAGGAGGTATATAGATGATATATTTATTGTATGGAATGGAAATGGATCTCAAAAGAATCTTGATTTATTCATGGATTACATCAATATGAATAGATATGGATTGAGATTCACTATTACTAGTGATTTCCAACAAATTAATTTTTTAGATCTGATATTATATAAAAGTAAGGGTCAAATCCTCACTAAAACCTACTTTAAAGAGGTGGACAAAAATAGTTACATACCTGTGTCCAGTGGACACCATCCTAATTGGCTTTATAGTACACCAAGGAGTCAGTTTACCAGAATAAAAAGAAATTGCAGCGGAAATAAAGATTTTTTGGATCAAACCGATTTGTTGATTGAGAGGTTCATAGAGAAAGGGTATAAGAGGAGTTTCTTGGTTAATGAAAGGGATCTGATAAATAAAAGAGATAGGGAGTCACTGTTAAGTGGCAAGAGGAATTCTCCTGGATTTGATAATAATGTACCCTTTGTTACCAATTATAATATGCAATATAAGAGGATTGAACACATTTTTAAGAAATACTGGCCCATTTTGTTAAAAGATGACATAATAAAAAATGTTATACCTATGACACCCAAGTTTGTTTATAGGAAGAATAGGTCATTGCGGAATAGATTAGCTCATAATGTAGTCGACCCTCCCAAAAGGATCGATTTTTTTTTTTTTTTTTTTTTCCCCCAATCTGAAAGGATTTTTTCTTTGCAAGAAATGTAAAGTATGCAAGACAGTAAAAGATACAGCCAGAATAAAAAGAAAATCTTTTTGCTCTTCATTTTCTGATAAACAATATAATATTAATTCTCTAATTACCTGTAACTCCACACGTTATTTATGTTTTGGAATGCCCATGTCACCTAAAATATATTGGTAGAACAGGAAGATGTTTGAAAACTAGAATAGGTGAGCATATAAGGAACATTAGAAAGGGGTTTGATAAACACAGTGTGTCGAGACACTTTAAACTAACACACAACTGTGATCCAAGCCTGTTAACTTTTTATGGAATTGAGATGGGGATCTGATTTAATTAATGAAATATCTCTGGAAAAGAAATGTATTGGATTTACGAGTTGAATTCTTTACAACCAAGTGGGTTGAATATTGATATTGACGAATTGTTTTCTCACAAATTTTTGAATTTTTTATGTATTTTTGTGTTATTTTTTGGTAATGACTCTGATTGCTTAGACATCCAGTGGCTATGAGATCAATTATATATTTTTTTTATATTTATAATATATTTTTAAAACAAAATTTTTTTTTTTTTTGAGAGGGTAGAGCCCTCCTTTATATTTGTACTGGCCCTTTAAATTGTATTATTGAAGTGATTGAGAGATTTATATTTACATCAGGGTGGAGTTTTCCTTTACATCTTGGACTGGCCCTTTAATGTGAAAGTTTTTTGTTTTTTAGTATATATTCATTGGCTAATTTGTTATTATTGTCCTCCTGGCATCTTGATGTCTGTGAGAAGGAATCCTGTTCATAATTGCGGTGTGTTGTATATATGGCAATCTGTCAACAGCGAGTTTTGCTTGCCGCTTGATTTTGCATTGCTGACAGCTGGTCGTTCCCTATGCAGTGAATATTTAATGAGGTTGTGACGTCTCACATCTATCAGCTCTGTGAGGACATCGATGACGAAACGCGTAGAGTGGGGTCTGATTGATGTGAGGTCATTACATTTCCCAGCGACCTACTGAGCATGTGCCTAGTGGCTGGGTTCGTCTATTGTGGATTTTACATGCTGTTAAAGCTGGTGTCAGCTGGGACACCTTTTGAGTTAAGTGCAATGAGTGCATAATAAATGAAGTTGTTTTAAGGTACTGCACTATGAAGTTGTTATTGTTCTTTTCCGAGTGTCTGGCCAAATACCCTTTGGATATGAATAAGGTGGAGTCTGGGAGAAGTGAATTTCCTTAGTGGTACTTTTCAATACAGATCATTGCTTCCTTCATTTTGGTTTATTTTGGAGTTGGCTTCTGCTGAATATCACCCTCTGGAAGTGGCTCATCATCCTGCAGAGTATTGCTCCCAGGGAAATTAGTGTTTAATGCTGATTATCATTCAGCTCTGGTGAGTTTATTTAGTGCAATTTGGTGGTGGACTGTCAGCTTTTTCTTCACATTTTTTTGGACTTTAAAGATGTTAATTTTGGACATTTTTCTGGGACACTTATTCATTTATTTGTTACATTTTTTTGTTTTATTAATTTTTGGTAGATTCACATTTGTGTATTTGGGGTGTATATATTTTTTACTTGCGTAAATTATTTTTTGTTCCTTGTTACACACTATATTTACTAGGGTGGAGTTTGCAGCTGGTAGATTAGGTTATATCTCATTTATACCCTTTCCTTAGGTGCCATTATATTCACCTTTTATTAAACTTTACTGTGAACCAAAAGTTCCTGAGTTTGACAGGTTCAGAATTTGCATTGGTGTTCATCCATTCCTGAAATTTACACAGCTCTGCCACACTACTTGGCCCTTCTGGCAGAGTAGGAGGCCTTACTTTTCTCTGCATTCATTAATACTTACAGGTCCCCATTCCACTCTGTGATTGGGCAGTGAAGGAAGCAGCACACAGATAAGCTCATCTCCCTCTCTCTTTGCTCTCCCCTTCTTTCAGTATGCACTGCAGCACAACTGACTGGCTCCTTGTGCTGCTTCTTCCATTCCCAGTCTAAGCTCTGCTGTACAAAGACTTCAGGAGGCTGATATTAGATTCAGTTCATGAATGAATAAATGAATACAGAGTTG